AAAAAAAAAAAAAAAATTACTGAATTTCATCTCGTGAACTATTAATCATGTTCTTGTAGTAAAACATGAGTCAACCAAATTCTACTTTATCCTTACTGAAAAATATTGAATACCCTGACCCTCTTGAGTGAAATGTGGCTAGTCCCAATAGAGATGCATTGCACACACTGGATTTTGACAATTTAGCACCAATAAATAAATAAATAAAATGTCATATTGAATCACTTTGTCATACTGATTAAACATTGAAATAATATTTTATATATACCGGGTTAAATAAAATACATTATTAAAATTAATTCCCCCAGTTTCTTTTCAATTTTCTTAATGTGGCTAATATAAAATTTAAAATTGCACATGTGGCTTGCATTTGTGGCCACATAGTAGACAGTACTGCTCTAGAAGATCCTCAGTACAAACCAGATTATCAAACTAACTTGACCACATATCCTGGTTTTGTATTGTTTTGTTTAACAATTACTAACATCCCACACAACTAGTAAATCATGAAGTAATCCTATGTGTAATGCTGATGCAGGGAAATGATTTAGTTACAATGTTTTCAGAGGGGAAGCTATTCGGTTAAGGAGGAATGGATATTTAAAATAGATTGAACAGGTGGGAGGAGTTCTGGTTGCCTAGTGGTTAAAGCTTTGTGCTGGTTGTTCCAACATACCAATCACTTGGCAGGAGATAGATGAGGCAGTCTGCTTCTCTGAAGATTTACAGCCTTTGAAACTCAATGGGGCAGTTCTACTCTGTCCTAAGGGGTTGCTATGAGTAGGAATTGACTCATGACAGTGGGTTTTTGGTCTGAACATGTGGAATGGGTGGCTCACACATTTGATGCTGAGTAAAGGAATAAAGAACTTTATATGCTGAATAAGGATCCTGGTGACACAAAGAGTTAAATGCTTGGCTGCTAACCGAAAGGTTGGCCATTTGAACATACCCAGCTCCTTGGTCAGAGAAAGATCTGATGATTTACTCCTATAAGCATTACAGCCAAGAAAACCCTATGAGATCTTTCCATTCTGCCACATGGAATCTCCATGAGTTGAGAATTGACTCAACAGCACCCAACAACAACATATGCTGAATAAAAGTAGGAGTCAAGAGTGTCACATTAATTTTATTAGCATAATTTATAGCATTTTAAATTGCACACTGGGTAGCACATTCCTAATGAAAAACAGGGGGACTTCTAATTTGTACATCAAGATTGTACTCTTTCTCATGTTTTAGCTCTGTAGTATTAGCAGATATTTCACATATAATGTTGGAGGCAGTAACTGTAGTGGTTAAATGATGGACTTTGGAATAAAACAGACTCAAATTCAAATCCAGATTCTGCCATTTACTAACAGTGTGACCTATGTTCTCTAAGCCTGCATTTCATCATCAGTAAAAGTGATAAAAATAATTCCTACTTCACATAATTATTAGAAGGATTATAAAAAATCATACATATAAAGCACTTACATTGTGCCTGGGATTTCAATGGTTGTTTGCTATTATTTTTATCCTAATAAATTCAGAGGATGCCTTAAAAGTGTTGGTTTATGTTAACATGAGTAGAAATAGACTTGATGGCAACCAACAACAACAACACACTACTTCTTCTTTAGAAGCTGTTTCGTGGTTCATTTGTTTTAAAATCAACATGAATACCTCTAACAAACTAGCCCACTCCCACACATCTCCCCATCCAAAAGACAGTCCTGCAAATAAGTTAGTAATAATAATAATAACCCTATTTCTTAAGTCCAGAGTAAACCAACTAGAATGACGTTCCACATCACATTCTTCCTCATCATATAATACAATTCAATTCATTTTAGAAGACATATTAAAAACTCATTATGTGTAGGGGGCTGTGGAGAAACAAAAATATATTGTGCTAAACTTTTGCTCTCCAAAGGATCGCAGCAATAATTGCATCAAGACTGTTTTTTTTTTTAAAAAAAATAACATAAAAAACAGTAGAAATACTTAAATGGAAGGTTTAGCTGGAAATGAATCTATTTAGTATAAATGTTGCTGAGACTAAAAAGCTATTGTGACCCAGGCTTAAATTTACTATGCCCTCCATGGGATGTGATTGGATTGGTTGGACTGATTATGAGCTACAAATTTAATTTACAAACCACTTGCTTTTCCATTAATGCATGTGACTTTTTAGTTTCTCAAATTAGAAAGCTCAGTTATATCTTATGCTTTCCTCTTTATCAAATCCTTATCCAGACCAGATGACTTCAAGTCAGTTCAGTCTCATGGTGACCCCATGTGTGTCACAGTAGAGCTGTGCTCCACACTAACACTGTATACTCCTATTTTTGTGGCCTTCTACAAATATCATGAATCTATACTTTCTCCTCCAAGCACACTGCTACAGCTTCAGTTCAGGGCCTCATGATTGCATACAGGTATTATGGCAAGAGCCTAGTGATTTGTGGCCTTCTATCATACTCCACAAGGAGGCATTAGTGGTTGGTTCAGGGGTATGACCCTTGCCTTTTGTGCTAGAGACCTGTGTTCAATTCCTGGGCTGCATCACCCATCCAGACTCTGGACTGGGCCACCTTTTGTTCCATTGTGCTGAATTAGCCCCAACAACAACCATTACCCTCCATGCTACAGCTTTTCATTTTTCTGAAGTGCAAATCTAATTATGTCACTTAATTGTTTGAAAGGTATATGTTATTCCACTAGACTGAGTTCTCCAAAGGGGAGTGAATGTTTATCCATTCAGTGCTTAAAAGACAATAGGAATTCAAAAGGATTTTTATTTAGATGATTAATAAGAAAAAGAGATGCCAGAGGATGGATTATGACTAGTTTTCAAAAAAGACTTTGCAATATATACAGTCTTGTTCTTAATATCCCATTAAAAGGAATAGTAGACAAGTCCCAATAAATCACATGACAAGATGAGTCCCATATGCTTTATACAGACTGACAACTGATAAATAAAACAATAGACTTACCAGTCAATAGATCCTTGTTTAGATTTTCTCTGCTTATAGAAAGAATATACTGAAAGAAAAATAAAGTAAATATTGTTTATTTTGAGAGAATGAACAAAGATATTTCTAAATTACTCAGAAATAGGAAATATTTATTATTTAGCAGAAGGTTGCAAAGTTAGTTTCATAATTATTTAGCTAAGTGGTCCTTTCTTGTTTGTTTATTTTTAAGCACTTTAACCAATTACAGAAGATCTGGTGGTGCAGAAGTTAAAATATTTGGCTGCTAACTATGATGTCAGTGGTTTGAACCTACCAACTGCTCCATAGGTGAAAGATGATGCAGTCTGCTTTCATAAAGATTTACAGCTTTGAAAACTCTATGGGTCAGTTCTACTATATCTTGTAGGATTGTTTTGAGTTGGAATCAACTTGATAGCAGTGGGTATGGTTTCTGGTTTAACCAAATACACAGAATACAATGCCTAACTTTAAATTTAGGCTTTTTCAAAGTTGACTGTTCTGGTTACCTAGTGCTGCTCTGACAAGAAATATACCACAAATGGGATAGCCTTAACAAACAGGAGTTTATTCTTACAATTTGGAGGCTTTAAGTCCAAGTCCAAAGTGCCAGGCTCTAGGGGCTGGGTGAAAGCCCCTCAACATTGGGGTCCAGCTCTGCCTCCTGCTCCCGGCCCACTGGAGCTAGAGGCATTTCTTCACTCAGACAGCTGCTGGCTGCTGAGGCTGAGAAGCCCCAAGGTTAACAAGTAAAAAGGCACAGTCCCAACGTTACCAAACCACATGGCAGGCCATTAACTTAAGTCCATTGTAAGTCCCAAGGTTGGCAGAGCATAGCAGGCTGCTGAGCAACGACAATGCTACACACAGGGTCCAAGCGTGCCATAGGCTAGAGACCATTCCCAAGTCTTCTCCTCATATACAGGAAGCAGACCATATCCCAAAGGCAGCTACTCAGCTGCTTGTGGTAGATTCTACCATGGAGTTGATTGCCAGTCTCATCATGGGGAATAACTACCACCAGCTTCACAGCCACTCAACTAGGCCCAGCCAAGTTGACACACAACATAACTACAACATTGACACTTTAAAAATCAAACCTGTTCTTGTAGCTAAAAAAATATTATTTTCACTAACATAGGAGTTTTGTCAATTATCATCAAAAATAAATCATAAACCTCATATTTCTAATCTTAGGTATCCAAGTTTAGGAAAACTAATGATAGCATCACTGGAATAAATGTATTATTTCCCAATTACTACATTGAAGGATTTCATTTCTTTGTAAAAGTTGTGTTTGTGCTGGTAGAGGTAGAGATTGGAGTTCATCGGTATGGGATCACCCTTGGCTGGGACATATGCTGTTGGTTGTTTCCTACTTATATAATAATTCATCAGAGCCATTTTTTTAATTGAGAAAATTAAGAAGAAAAAGTATTAATTTTAATGTTAGGCTTAATAATTTTTGCTTTGGGCCCAATTAAGCAGTGTCTAGTGTCCATAAACTTTTAGGGGCTCATGAAAATATTTTATTTAAATTCAGAAGAAAATAAAAGGAAATAATAATAAACAAACAAACAAACTCACTGCCATCAAGTGGATTTTTACTGATAGTGACCCTTTCTTGGATTTCTGAAGCATTATCTCTACAGAAGTAGATTTCCCAATCTTCCTTCCGAGGAGTGGCCAGTGGGTTTGAACTGCCAGCCTTCTGGTTAGCAGTCAAATGTCTTAATACATATATATTAATTACTATAGGCTGGATTGGGAGCTCTGGTGGCGTAGTGCCTAAGGCACTTGACTGCTAACCAGAAGCCCGGAGGTTCAAACCCACCAGCCACTCCTCGGAAGGAAGATGGGGCAATCTACTTCCGTAGTGATACTGCCTCAGAAACCCAAGGAAGGGTCACTATGAGTTGGGTCTGACTCGATGGCACATAATGAAAACAACAACGGGCTGGATTATAGGTCACACAGTCATAAAAGCTAATATTAATATTTAAATTTTTATAGAGAAAAGGATCCACAAAGGCAAACATGCCTAAGGCCCATGCAAATCACAATTGTTGTTGTTAGTTGCAATTATGTCAGCTTTAACTCATGTCAACTATATGTACAACATAACAAAATGTTCCTCAGTCCTATGCCATCTTCATAATCATTGGCATGTTTGCATCCATTGTTGTTGTCCACTGTGTGTGCTGAATGCCCTCCAACCTAGGGGACTCATCTTCCCGTACTACATCAGACAATATTCTGTTGTGAATCTGTAACGTTTTAACTGACTAATTTTCAGAAGCATATTGCTAGACCTTTCTTCCTAGTCTGTCTTAGTCTGGAAACTCTGCAGAAACCTGTCCACCATGGATAGCCCTGTTGGTATTTGAAATACTGGTGGCAGAGCTTCCAGCACCACAGCCACATGCAAGCCACCACAGTACAACAAACTGACAGATGGGAGTGGGAAAGTCACAATGCAAGCCAGGGTAACTCTACCACTTAAAAAAATTAAAGCTTATTATTTTCCAAATTATAAAACATCACAATATTTAAAACAAACATGATATTTTATGACTTCAACATATTTGAAAGTAGAAATTTTCAAATAACAGCTAAATCTGTACTTGGAGTAAAAATAGCTTGGTCTTGCTCCAGTGGCAATGACTGAGAGGCTTCCTGTGTCTTTGCTGTATACTAAAATTATCAGAGGCCTCTGAATCACTGTCTCGTAGTTCTATTTTCTAGTCTTCTACATTACTAATCACCACATCTCAGTGGAAACCAAATTTGTTAGGCAAAGTATGTTAGGAAACATTCAAATCATGAAGAACCATTTATTAGGGGAACTATTCTTTCTGGTTCAGTTCTCAGATACGGTTGATGTCTGCCTCCTTTTAGAAGTGATGGACACATTGGTCTTGCAGGGACACCAAGAAGTGTCTCTGTTCAGCCTACTTCAAGTCTTTGGACAATATCTTATCATAGCCAAAAGTCAGAGTCACCCCATCAAGTCTTTTTTCTCTAATATAGCATATGATGGAATACATCATTTTAAGAAAAGTAAATGAGGAATGATGAATAAAGCAGAGTAAGAATATATGATCAACAGCTACAAAGTGATCCTTGTGACAAAAAAAAAAAAAAAAAAAGAACATAAGCTAAATATTGGATACAGGAGATTACAGAAAGGATATTAAAATCCTTTGTAAAGGTGATTACAAACCTTTGGTGGTTTGTAAGGCAATAGTTGCACTTGTTTTTCAAATGTATTAGAAAAAAGCAGTTACTTTCTAAACCCCAAATGTCTTCAGATGTGAAACATTTCCCAATAAAGGGGACAGCCATTACTCTTCATAGGAGTATCTCATAAGCTTTGAGGCATAGGATGTTAAGAGTAGAAACTTGGGAGCTCAGAGCTGCTTTCTATATTGGAGAATATTTTGATAGTTCCCAGAGCAGTTTGGGGAGAGAGTGAGAGGAACCAGTGAGAGAGCCAGAGTCTAGACACTGATTGAAAAAAAAAAGGCAGAGAAGAACATATGGAGGAGGGAGACTCAGGGATGGGTTGGAAAAATTTTAGAGGTCAAATTTTGCATATTAGGGATTTCTAAATTGTTTGGTGTGCTGTGTGCAGTGTGATCTCTTCAGCACCCCTAAGTCTTCATCATATTCATGCATCTTTTGAATGGATGGTGTTTGTAGAAATTGGTGAAAGGAATGAAAGGGAAGAATTCCAGGTCTTGATCAACATGGTACAGAGCCAGTACCATGTGTGAGGGAGTGGGCCAAGATGCAGAGAAGATCAAGAGAAGGAAGACTCCCTGACATTTTGTAGAAATCCTGGAGTCATGGGAAGAGTTTTGGCTTCCACAGGCTGTGGAATTGTCAATATTAAGAGGCACGAGGGCCCCATGTTCCACTCAGTTATAAAAATAATGATGCAAACTAAAGAAAAAGTACAGGCTGTAAATTTAGCATTAGTTCACTTCTTAAGAATGAAAAATTGACAGCATTGGTGGGGAAGGACCATTTCCTGCCTCTCCCACCAACTCTTTCATTTTCTTAGGAAATTATTTTTGATGAAGTTGCTGTCCTCTGTTCCCCCACCCACTCTCTCTGTATCTTTTTTCCTGGTAGTGGTGGTGAGGTAGCCAATTTTGTCTCAGGTCCAACTTGTTTAACTCATCTAGGTCTTCTGATATTTTGAACCTAAAATTACCCATTTACCAATATATAATTTGTTGGTTCAGTCTCTAGAGGGGAGATGGATGTGATTAACTGGCCTTCCTCAACTCTAGCACATTCCATGTTAATCCAAGAAAAAGGTGGGATGATTATTATAAGTCATTCTCAATTTATTAAAATAAATATATGTAACTAGGCAATACTGCCCAGTGTTCCCACGAAGTCCTCAATTTAGGGACAATTAGAAAGGACATAATTATCTGAAATTGTTTATCTGTCTAAGGGTGGCTCAGTGGCCTTTCTTCCCCTCCTTCTCCTGCCAGGCTCATGCATTTAAACTTGTGTCTATGTTTTTATAATTTCAAAATAATCAGATAATTATTTTTAAGAATTCAATAAGTAAAAAATTTTGATCTCCTCTTCCACACACACATCAAATGCCCTTGCTTGAACATTTTACTTTTCAACAACTTTTATCATCACAAGATCCACAAAGATCTTGCTTTTATGAACATACGTGTTTCATCTCTTTGCTGTTCTACATATGTGTTTCATCTCTTTGCTACTCTACATATGTGTTTCATCACCTCACTCATGCTCTACATTTAGAATGAGGATTTGCTGACTAAGAAGTACCTGGGAGTACAAATGGGCTACTAACAAAAAAGCATGAAGGTTCCAGTCCATACAGAGGCACCTAGGAAAAAAGGATTGGTGATCAACTTCCAAAAAATCAGACACTGAAAACCCAATGGAGGAAAATTCCACTCTGACACATATGGAGTTGCCATGAGTTGGAAACTGGTTTTGGTTTCTTGATAAAAATAAATCAAGTGTTGGGTTTTTGTTTTTTTTGTTTTTTTTTTTTTTGATGGATATTTTGGTACACTCATTTACTCTCAAGGAAAGAAACTCAGAAAGTGCAATTAGATAAAAATTCATGCTCTTCAATTATGTACATTGCTATGTGAAGGATAAGAAGAAAAACACAAAGCAAAATAATGAGTTTCTTTTGTAAACTCTGCATCATCATCTCATCTCTGTAATTTTAGAAGTTATATAGTACCAAATGCATTTCTAGTTTATTCTATAATTATAAGCAAATTTTGGACAAGATCATTAAGGCAAAGCAACAAAATCATAAAACCTTCTCAAGTTATTCTTCCACATTATACTTGACAGCAAATACATGGTAATCTCCTCTAATTGAAAGAAGGTAGGAAGGAATGGTCTATCCATACAGAGCACCAAGGATTAATGAAAAGTTCATAGACAAACCTAACAGTGCAAAACTTAGTACCTAATATTTATTGGAGGATGAGGACCAAAGCCAGAGATAAGGATAAATTAAAGATTTTTACCAACTTCTGCAGTCTGAAATTGACCAAACTGCAATCAAGATGTGTTGATTATCACCAGTGACTGGAATGCAGAAATTGGAAACAAAGAATAATCACTAGTAGTTGGAAAATATGGCCTTGGTGATAGAAATGAAACTGGAGATCTCATGATAGAATTTTGCAAGACCAATAAATTATTCATTGCAAATACCTTCTATGAACAGCATAAACAGCAGCTATACATGTGGAGTTCACCAGATGAAATACACAGGAATCAGATTAGCAACATCTGTACAAAGAGGCAATGGAAAAGCTCAATATCTTCAGCCAAAACAAGGCCAGGAGCTGACTGTGGAACAGACTATTAACTGCTCATATGTAAGTTTAAGCTGAAGCTGAAGAAAATTAAAACAAGTTCATGAGAGCTAAAATATGACCTTGATTATATTCCACCAGAGTTTAGAGGCTATCTGAAGAACAGATTTGACACACTGAACACTAATGACCAAAAACCAGAGGAACTGTGGGGTGACATCAATAACATCATCCATGAAGAAAGCAAAAGGTCATTAAAAAGGCAGGAATGGAAGAAAAGACCAAAACTGATGTCAGAAGAGATTCTGAAACTTGCTCTTGAACAGAGAGTAGCTAAAGCAAATGGAAGAAATGACAAGTTAAGAGAGCTGAACAGAAGATTTCAAAGAGCAGCTTGGGAAGACAAAGTCAATTATTATAATGAAATATGCAAAGACCTGGAGTTAAAAGACCTGGAGTGCAAAGACCAAAGGGGAAGGACACGCTTCCCATTACTCAGCTGAAAGAACTGAAAAAAAAAAAAAAAAAATTCAAGCCTCAATTTGCAATATTGAAAGATTCTATGGGCAAAATATTGAATGATGCAGGAAACATCAATAGAAGATGGAAGGAATACACAGAGTCACTGTACCAAAAAGAACTGGCTGATGTTCATCCATTTCAAGAGGTAGCATATGATCGATGGTATTGAAGGAGGAATTTGAAGCTGCACTGAAGGAACTGGTGAAAAACAAGACTCCAGGAATCAACGGAATACCTATTGAGATGTTCCAACAAACAGATGCTGAGCTGGAGGCACTTACTTGTCTATGCCAAGAAATTTGGAACTCACCAACTGTCTGGAAGAGAGCCATATTTGTACCCATTCCAAAGAAAGGTGATCCCACAGAATGTGGAAATTATTGAACAATATCATTAATATCAAACGCAAGTAAAATCTTGCTGAAGATAAGTCAAAAATGGTTGCAGCAGTATGTTAACAGAGAGCTTTCAGAAATACAAGCTAGATTCAGAAGAGGATGTGGGATGAAGGATATCATAGCTGATATCAGAGGGATCTTGGCTGAAAACAAAGAAAACCAGAAAGATGTTTACTTATGTTTTATTGACTATGCAAAAGCATTAGATTGTGTGGATTATAACAAATTATGGATAACAGTGAGAAGAATGGGAATTCCAAAACACTTAATTGTGCTCATGGGGAGCCTGTGCATAGACCAGGAGGCTGTCATTCAAAAAAAAAAAAAAAAGGGAATCTGCGTGGTTTAAAATTAGGAAGGGAGTGTGTCAGGGTTGTATCCTTTCACCATACTTATTCAATTTGTATGCTGAGCAAATAATCTGAGAAGCTGGACTATATGAAGAAGAATACAGCATCAAGATTGGAGGGAAACTCATTAACAACCTGTGATATGCTAAAGAGACAACTTTGCTTGCTGAAAGTGAAGGTGACTTGAATCACTTACTGATGAAGATTAAAGACTATAGTCTGCAGTATGGATTACACCTCAACATAAAGAAAACAAAAATCCTCACAACTGGACCAATAAGCAGCATCATGATAAATGGAGAAAGATTGAAGTTGTCAAAGATTTTATACTACTTGGTTCCACAATCAACACCCATGAAAGTGGCAGTCAAGAAATCAGACAACGTACTGCATTGGGCAAACCTGCTGCAAAAGACCTTTTTCAAGTGCTGAAGAGCAAGGATGTCTCTTTTAGGACTAAGGTGCACCTAGCCCAAACCCTGGTGTTTTCAATCACCTCATACAATGTGAAAGCTGGACAATGAATAAGGAAGACCAAAGAAGAGTTGATGTTTTTGAGTTATGGCATTAGTGAAGAATACTGTAAGTACCATGGAATACCAAAAGAACTAACAAATCTGCCCTGGAAGAAGTGCAGCCACAATACTCCTTGGAAACAAGAATAGCCAGACTTCGTCTCACCTACATTGGTCATGTTGT